GGGGGGAAGAAAGATCTGTTTCCTGATACCTGTCTGTGGTGCCTGTCTCCAGTGTCAGAGCTAGTGAGCTGAGCACACCGGTGTAAGCCTCTGTGCTTTGCATCTCTAGCTGTTGGCGGGCCTCCCTCTGGCTGGCCTGACACCAGCACAGTGACTGCCAGTTTGCAAACCGGTGCCAGAAGTCTAGGAGGGAGGCGCAGCTGGCTGTGTATCACAGTAGGGGGCCTCAGAGCTGAGTAGGCAGCCCAGGAGATGGAGCACCTGAAGCTCCTCAAAAGTTCCCAACCAGCTAGGCAGAGCGTGCCCAGACAACCTTGTCCAGCAATCCCTTCTCCCAGGCAGCAAGCTCCATGCAAACCCCTTCCCTTCAGCAGCCCTCTCGCTGCTAGGAAGCCTCTCAGACTGCCTGCCTTTCCTGTGACACAGAGCAGTTGGATGTGGATCCCCTCCTCCACAAACAGCTGGAATCTCAGTCTCTCAAGCACTCCGCCTATCCAGGCTGCCCAGCGTCCAGAACATCACACAATATAGGTTTCTGCTCACAGAGCAGATCTCCAGGGCTAGGTGTTCAGCAGTCCCAAGCTTCCACCCCTCCCCACTCCGTTTCTCTTCCTCCTGCTGGGGTGGGGCAAGGGCTTTGGTCTCACCCGCTCAAGGCTTTGGTACATTACCCTGTTTTGTGAGGTCTGCTCTGTTCCTGAGGTCTGTATGCAGTCTGATTCAGCCTTCCTTCTTGTTGCTGTTTTAGGCTTAGTTGTATTAATCAACTATATTTTCATACTATGTGGTTTTGGGAAGATTTCTCCGTCTCACCTCTTGTGCCGCTATCTTGAATCTAATAATTGCCTGCTGAAAACTTTTTTTTAAAAAAAAGAAAAAAGTGTTGACAAACTTTGGTCTAGAGAGTGTGAAACTTTGGTTTTGATTCTGAGGTTTTGTACTGGCTAGTTATGTAACATTAACCAAATTATTGAACGTCTCTGAATTCATCTGTTTACTCATCTCAGGACAAGGACAATAGACTAAATGTTTAAGGCTCATTTTCACCTTTAAAATTCTTTGATGGATGTAAGTATCACCAAAGCAGTTATTATTCTTATCAGAGAATAATTCCTTTGTGTTTTTGTCTATCAAACTGCTGACCATTCTTAAACAAAGAAAGAAAGTTTGCTTATTCCGTTGATGTAGCAATTCAGTAAATATTTATGACGTTCCTGACCAATGCATAAAGTATTTTGCTATGGTGTATGTATGTATATGCATATATATATCATGTAGAAAAGATTTACATAGCTTTGTTTTTCTATCTCAACTATTTTTGTATCTTCATCCTTTATTCTTTCCTCACTTTACAGAAGAAGTGGCCTTATTCCTTTCAGAAATCAGTGTTTTTATCTGTCCCTTATTTCAAATGCTGCTTCTTATATTTTAATTTTTCTTTATTTTCAAGATAATGTATTCATTCATATATACTTTTTCATTTGGAAAATAGAAAAATCACTCCAGTGACTATGTGGAGAAGAGATTAAAGTATATAAATTGGGGAAAATCCCTGTTGGAAAACAAAAAACAAAGATGTCAAACATTCATGGACCATTCCCTCCTTAGGCCTAAAAACAGATGCCAATCCAGGAGGCCTTAATCTTCCCTAATATCTGCATGACCAGGCTTATACTATGGACAATGTTCAGAAATTTGTGGGTTGAACCATAATTTTGTACCTATCATTCTCAAATTGGTCCCACTAAAATATTTTGGAAAATGATATGTATATATAGTGCAACATCACTAAGAAGCTAAAGAGTATTAAGCTTTAAGTTAAAGCGTGAGAGTTTAAACGTTTTCTTGATGATATGCCACAGCTAGATACGTCAACATAATTTACTACTATTCAATAATTATGGTATTTTCATTATATGTCAACTTAACTTTTCAAAACACTTCTATTCTTCAAATTTAGATTTAAAAATAATTAAAACATCAACATTTCACCCTGTAAGAAAAAAGATGAAGGCAAATCTATTCACCTTCCTCTATCCCAAATATTTTAATTCTAATTATTAGATTCCCAAGCATTCTATTTCTCACACCTACATGATTAATTAATAGCCATTTAATTTCTATTCACAGTGATTAATTCAACCTTTATCAAAACAAGTAATAGCTATTCATAATCATAAAGAACAAACTTGGGGCTGATACTTATGTCACTTATTTTATTTATTGGCTCCACAAATTAGCCTTTTACCACATTCATTTACATCCATTACACAACTTTCAGTAACCCAGGAATGCCTATCCCCTAGGAGCAGGAACAGTAATTGATGGTTTTTGTCATAAAACAAAAGCATCCTTGACCCATTTCTTACCCGAAGGCACACATCCCATATGCTATACTAGTAATTATTGAAACTACTAGTCTGTCCATTCAGCAAGCAGCCCTAGCCATATGACTAACAGCTAATATTACTGCTGTCAACTACTAATTCACCTAACTGGAAGAGCAACCCTAGTCCTAATAAGCGTTAGTCCCACCGTGGCTTTTATCACTTTTATTTTTCTTTTATACTTACTATTCTTGAATTTGTGATAACTTTAATTTGGCCTCATATATTCACTGTGCTAGTGAGCCTTTAGACTTACATGATAATATTTAATGACCCACAAACCCATGCATGTCACATACTAAAGCCCAGTCCTTGAGCTCCCAAGAGCTCTGTCTACCTTCTCATAACATCTAATCTAGTAATGCGATTTCATTTTAACATTCAACATTCCTGTTATTCTTCAGTTCATTAACCAGTATACTAACGGTATACTAGTGATAAGGGAACATTATTGGAGAAAGCACATGTCAGGACCACCATACATCATTTGCCCAACCAGGACTTCAATATAGAATAATCCTATTATTTCAGAAATGTTTTCTCATCACTTTCTTCAGAGCTTTTTATTCAAGCCTAGCCCCAACACCTGAATTTATTGGCTGCTAACTACCCACAGGCATTCATCCCCCAAAATCCTACAAGCACCACTTCTTAATATTTCAGTTCTATTTTCACACTCCCCACTGCTTCTTACCTAGGTCACTTTTTCTTTTCACTTTTACTGTGTCTTCCCAAGTACATCACACCTGCCCCCATCCTGTTTATCCTCTGTCTACGTTGCTCGTTTTCCTGGGTTTTCCCTCTTTGCCTCATTTTCCTTACCCCCCACCCCACTCAATATCCACAGGGGTGGATTAAAGGTATGCCCTTCCTGGGAGAGCTCCCTTAGATGTAAACACACCCTGGCAAGCACAGCAATAGGACAGGATTGGGACAGAAGGACATAGAGTGTCACAGGTGTGGGGACAAGGAGAAAAAAAAAAAGATATATAAAACTGGAGGGAGGTACACTGTTATAATATAGTCTAGATAAGAGGTGATGAGGTGAACTGGTAAAACCTTTTGGAATGACTTCTTAGATGTCAGGTATAAATGGGAAGGATGGATTTGGAATGTCTCAATCATAAAGGTGTAATGGAACATATGATAGAAGCAAGGTGGATTTAGGAGGTCAAGTTACTGATTACCATCTGTATATAACCAGTACAGTTGACCTTTCTGGACACCCTGTCCTCCCTTGGCCTCCATGATACTATATTACCCTGGTTCTCTTTCTCCTTTCACTTCCTCTTTTGTAGTTTTACCTCCTTCACCTGCTAATCAAATATAAAGATTCCTCATAGTTCTATGAAAAGCCTTCCCATTATTTTATGTACTTCCTAAATGATCTTACCCCTTCTTTTAGTTTTACAAGTCACTTTATAATGGTAATACATAGACTAGGGTGATTACATATCCAGTTCTGTATTATCTCTTGCTCCTAAGTTTTTAGCTACCTGTTAGTTATGTTACAAATACCTCAAACTTCTTATAAACAAAAACAGGACTTACCTGGAGTTTTCCGGTTAAAATTAATGGAAGCACTGTCTTCCCAGTCAGCCATACCTAAATCTTGTAAAATATCTCTAATTTATTCCTCATTCTCATCTTCATTCAATCATGTTGATTCCACCCTATCCTCTCTCATTTCCATTTCTGAATGGAACAGCTTGTCTTGCCCAAGTTCAGATTGTCTTGGCTACACTTTTTCCATAGTTTCTAACTTGTCTCCAAGTCCCCAGCCTCTCACTTTTCTAGTTCATCCACACAGCACTACCAGGTTTACTAATCTCCAAACATCCTATCCTCCTTCACTACCTATAATATATAAGTCCAACTTCCTTAGTCAAACAGTCAAGGTTGTGTACATTCCCATTCCAAGCTGTATTTTCCCACACCCAATTTTTCAACCATATCAGACTATTTCTATTCTTTAAATTAAGCCAGGTTCCTTCCAGCCTCTGCTTTAGTTCATTTGGTTCTTTCAGTCTGGAATGTCCACCTGTCCAGCCCCAGTGTCCCAGTCCCAACTGTGGAAATCCCATTCATCTTCTATGGCCAGTGTAAATGGCTCTTCCTTTGTAAAACCTCCAGAGTTGAAATTAAGTATTCCTTTCTCTCCTCTCATATAGCACTTTTCCCCTGTATTATGCTCTCATTTTATTCTGCTTCCCCCATAGGATTGTAAACTCTGTGGAGCTCTGCCTTATATGTCTTTATATGCACAAAGCACTTAGTATATTAATTCACACAAAATAGTAGCTTAACAGATCTTTGATCAGTGTATAGGAGCACACAATGAAGTGATCTTCCTTCTCCTTGCTTCTCATTCTTCATTTTCTAGTAGATTAAAGGTAATAAAGTTGCTCCTAGAAATAGATTGTTTAGAATAATTAATTGTTGCCATATTGTTAACAAAAAATGCAGTACCATCTGGACAGAGCTTGTGAAAGAAATACTGTATTTGAAGATGATTTTATTATTTGTATTTTACCATATATTATTATGTTGTCCCAAATTCTGTTGAAAAGCACTTCACAGTTTTTAAAATATAGGATGACTTTATAATTTTAGGTTGAGAATTTCTTCTGCATGGGATCCCCACTAGCAGTTTTTTTGGCACTGCGTGGCATCCGCCCAGGAAACTCTGGAAGTCAGGATCATATTTTGCCCAGAGATATTTGCAACCGATTATTAAATATTTTTCATCCAACAGATCCAGTGGTGAGTTGCAAATGTAGACATTTTTCTCTCAATATTAAATTGTTCCTAAAAGAATCTATAAGAAATCTTTCAAGGTACCACTGAATTAATGAGAAATAGTTTGTGTATCTGATTATATTTGCATAGGTTCATATTTTTAAAACATTTGTGTTTTGATTAATTTAGAGCTCAAGAATTAAAATACCTTGGCGATGATCCATTTATGTTACAGTATTAGAGCATAATGTAAAATACTGTCTCCAGACAACACAAAGGACAGGGGTCTTTCAGACTTTTGAATTAACCAATTATGATAATAACCTAGCAATCATAAATTTTGAAGATCCCCCTTTAAATACTTTCTTCTCCAAAGCATGCTACACAATTGAAATATGTTTAGGAGATGTTCTTAGAAATGGAATTATTTAAATATTATGTATTAAAGATGAGAAAGTGGAAGAGTTTATGTTATTAGCCTGGTGGAATTATGAAATTTGGGGTTTTTACAATTCTCTACTTTTGTATTATAAATAGTTTTTTTAATACAGGTGCTCCAAGGATCTTGCATTCACGTAAAACAGTATAATGCCAAGTAAGATTTTTAGATGAGAAAAATGCTTTATTAAATCTTTTTGAGGACGAGGGTATATATAACTAAATTTAAAACAAACTTTTGAATAGCATTCATTCTCTGAAAAGTAGCTTTATATAATTATGTGAAGTCTTTTGAAAGATCTTAGCTAATACCAAAATAATATAGCATTGATTAAACACGAGAATTTTAGAAAATTTCCCATATGTTAAAGAATCAAAACTGCTGTATTTGAGAAGTAAGTTTCACTGAACTGGAATCTGATACTAGATTCACAAACAGACTGCACAGTCTTGGCCAAGTCACTTCTGAGACTGTTTTCTACCTGTGTGATGCAGATAATATTTTACCTTGTAAGGTTGTTAGGATTAAGTAAACTGTGAAAACACCCAGCTAGACATTAAATATTTCCTTACCATACATTCATTTTACTCATCCTCTTATAGCTTGAAAATGAACTTGAGTTCATTGGGGAACTCTGAGCTTTTAGTATATACCCTGTCCTTTGTATAACCTTAAACTTTGTTATAAAGAAATGTTCCAAACTCATTTTATTACTATTTTTATTATTAATTTTATAGTTTTTCTGTGATCTTTTTTTAAACAATGTTGTTTAAATAGTGTATGCCAGAACTGTGCTAGGCAGTTTTTACAAACAGTATCTATTCTTCCAACATCCTTGTGAGGTAGGAAGTATTATCTCCTTTCTATGAATCAAGAAATTGATGCTCTGAGACCTTGTGACTTGGTAAGTGTCATACAGTTAATAAGTGACAGAGGCCAGAAAATGAATTCAGGGAATTCTGATGCCACAACCATTGCCTTTTCTGCTTTATCATCCCTACTTCACATTAGACAAAAGGTTTTATATCAGCATCTAATTTGTGCTGTTATTATATTAATCTATTTGAAAATAGTTTAACTTGTGCTCCCAAGAAAAACCGATTTACTTGCTGTGTTCCAGTTTACTGCTTTAGCTTTGTTTGTGAGGCTAATATAAGTCTAATTGTTAGATGATATCAAAATATAATAAAAATGAATCTATTTCTCTGAAAAATGAATTAATGGGTACTGTTAGCCTAATCCTTTTTCCATAATCTCATCATTAAAGACATATAATTAGACCAACAACACATTATTAGCAATGAACAAGTAGAAATAGATGTTAGAAATATCAGGTTTTTTAAAATTACCTCTACAGTCTACTAAGCATGCAATAGAATAAAAATAAACAGTTTACTAAAATCCAAGCATTGTGCCTTAATGTTGTGTTTCTTTGAATTCTTTTAATCAAGGCTTATAGGTTAGAACCATTAATACTGAAACACTACAGCAACATTTCACCTGTTCAGATCCACTGGTATAATACTTCCAATCCTCTACCTTATGAGCATATGAAGCCAAGCTTTCTCCACCCAGCAAAAGAACCTACCTCAATTTCAGAGAATGAAGGCATTTCAACAATACCAAGCCCGGTGACCTCGCCAGTCTTGTCCCGCCGACACTATGGGGAATCTATAACAAATATAGGCAAAGCAAGCATATTAGGTAATTTCTCTTAAATATTTCTTACCAATAAGAACTTTTTATATGGGCATTAAATTTTGGGTACTTGAAAATACTTTATGTAGTACAAAACATCTAACCATTAATTCCCATGTTTAGAATTAACTATCCCCTCATTGTTTGTATTTGAGGGCCAAAAGCCCAGACATTCTCTAACTAGGTCAGACCTTTAGTTTTAGACTATGACATAGCTTAGATGGGCAAGAAAAGGTATAGGAGTCAAGTCCCTCATTTAATCTTACTGCAAGATCTTGGGCAAGTCACAGTTTTTAACGCTCTGCTTCCTCATCTGTAAAATGAGGGAATACCCTCACCAACCATTTCTCTGTTCTGTGTGTGTCCTAAAACTCTCTCAGATTGTGTTCTCTGAGGACCACAAGAATATTTAGTTTCTCTTCGAATGATCTCCAGTACCAGCCACAATGTTTGGTGTAGCACTGGAGCTCAATTATGTGCTGCTTGAATTTGTCCCTGCTTTTGGTTACAAGTCACCTTAATAGAAAGTGCCACAAGGTGGCGCTATAGATATGCTTTATCTGTTGGATTCATTGCTAGTTTACTTTGTCACAGTTTATTGATAACTTTAGAACATTCACTTCAGTAGTAAGCATGTCAGTAGTAAATATATGCCCGTGTCAGTGGCATGGTTCTTTTATTAAAGTTTTATCTTACCAAATACTTAAACAATGATCACTTGAATAAAATAGAATCTTTATACATAAGCCATATTCCTTGAGTTTGTACAACTCTCATTCTATTTAACATCATTTACATTTAGAAACCTACAATATAAATTATAATTTTATTATGTTCCTACCCTGGAAAAACATGACTAGTGGGTGATGCTCTTTAGCTTGGTATGTGGTGTAATTCAGCAGAATGACTGCCCTGTTTTGTGAAATGCAGGGGCTGCTAGCATTGGAAAGGGACTTGGAGGAATGTTGTTCTCAAGATTTGGACGTTCATCTACATCACAGCCATGTGAGACATCAAAAGACTCAGTAGAAGATGAGAAGAAACCAGTTGCCTCGCCTCCTACTACCATTGTGGCAACACAGACCCTTCCACAGAGCAGCTCTGGCTTTCTTGATTCTGCATGTTAGTTCATACCATTCTTTTCTTAAGTTTATACTTTATTTTTTTGAAACTTGAGGAGGGCAGAGAAGATTAAGATATTAACATTAGCAGTCAACTGTAAAGCATACTCAGCTTTTAAGGAAAAAATGCTTTTCTTCTGATTACAGTTTAAGAATAATCCCCAGGTAAATGCAGTTTTACTCTCTGTACTGGTGAATTAATAGTCAAGAACATTAATTACCAGGGCTTGTAGCACAGGGATCTTAAGCATCAAACATGAAACAAATTTCTTTGGCGTAAACACCTCCTGATTTTTATAAAGTAGATTTTTTTTAAATATTGTCTTCTCAACCTTAAAAATTCATGTAATTGCTTCAAACCTGTGCTGTATGTACTCTTGATACTTTTTTTAAAACTGCTGTGCCAAAAGCCATGCTGCTGCTAATCCTCACAGTTCCCTTCATCCAACCTAACTATAAAACCTTCAAAGCTTAAATTGCATTGGATCCACTCTATGGCTTCTAATCCTATCCCAGCTACCTAAAGTGACTGTTAGGTACTCAAGAAGTGAGAGAATGAGTGAATAGTTATGCTGGACTTTGCATTAGAATGGAACTTTTTTTCAGTGTATTTGTAAGGTTTAAAATCTTGAATAGGTGTGAAATTCAATTCACTTAGTATACATTTACTTCAAAAGGTCTACACGGTGAACCTTATTTTTAAATGTCCATTGAAATAAGACTATTAAGTCAAGTCCTATTTTTCCACTGACTTATATATAAGGAAGTGTAGATTCTGAAACAAGTTACCTTCTTTCTGTAACTATAGCAAAAGGAAAACTTCCTTTCTCTGAAGATTTTTAAACAGATTTCATTTCAGGTACTTGTAGCTGTTTTCTTACCTACTCCAAGTTTTAAAATGACCAACCAGCATCCACTGACATCCATAAAACCTACTTAAAAAGGAAGTTCAGGTGTGACAGTCCTAGAGGCTGGATTTTTCTCCAGTCAACCTTACTCTAGGATAATTATCCTGGACATTTCTGATTTGAACATTTCTATTTGGCTCAATAGCAATTTTTTAACTTAATCCTATCTGTGTCAGACTCTTGAGTACTGACAATTTATAATGGCAAGCCTTTGAACACTCTCTAGTAAACTCATTTTAGACTTTGATATTTGTACAAAATTTGTATTTTAGTTTTTTTAAAGAAGTTCCTATACTATTGCTGACTTAAGCTCTCACTTTGGCTTAATATCAGAAATGTAATTGTGAAAATAAAATATTCTGTTGTGACATGCAGATGCCAAAAGAAAACTAAACTTCTGAGGAGATGTATTTTCAAAGGATTTTGTAAGATGGAAGGTAAAAAGCCACAATTCCTTGCAATGTTAATGTGTAACAGTGATGCTAATAAACATGAGGAAGGATGAAGGAGCAGAAAAGCAAGGTAGAATTTGAGCCCCTGATAAAGGGTAATGAAGACAGTAGAATCCATAGGATCTGAGGGCAGAAACTATATTTTAGTTCTTTACTGTTTAACATAGTAATCTCAAAACAGTAATAGTGAAACCTCCTGTTATTTCAGGACAACAGTCAGTAAGAAGTGCTTAGCTGTATTACATCATTATGTTTTCATTGCTTAACAAAATACATTTTCTGTCATTCTTGCATGTAAATTCTTTGTTGGTCCTAATGGTAAGTTCCTTGTCAGCTACAAACTCAGCTAAATATGAACTCTGTTATGAATCTAATTACATATATTCATCTCTAGACATAGATGTAATTATTAAAATTGGATCTGCCTTTTAAATTAGATCCCCAAGATGTGCCTTACTAACTCATGGACTTGCTTCAATAATATACTCTTTTGTATAGTTCTGATTTAGATAAGTTTCTAATGTCACAATTGCTATTTTGGCTTTATCTTGCAAATCATAAAACCTTTCCTCCTTAAATCTTCTTTCTGGAATTTGGTCATTGTGATCAGGTGATTATTCTGGCTTCCTTCATTCTGCTCACATTGATTGCCTCAGTTCTTCTTGATAACCTTTATTCTGAAGCTACCGACTTTGAGTCTCTTGCTTTTGTAAGATGGACACAGACTTTGAAGTCATGATCACTCAGGGTTTTTCTCCTCGAAGAATATGTGTTGTCAGTTGAAAGCACTTTGTCATCAAGTTGAAACATCTCATATAGCTATTCTTCGATTCTTATAAAAAGTCTAGGCTTATTTCCAGTAGTTTTAATTGTTTCATTTCTTGTGCTCTGTTGTCTTTGTAACATATTATGAAAAGAAAAGATCTGTTTCTTTTTACATTGCTTGCCTCTAGGTTAGAATTTAAGTGAGCTGTAAGTTTGGGGGATATCTGGTATTAACAGGTTATAGCATTGTATTTCCAAGTTAATTAGGCTTACATTTTCCATGAAAGAGCCCCTCACAAAAACCAAAGTGTGTACTTCTTTATGTATGCTAGGTTTACTCAACATATTATTTGGGAGTATTGCTCTAACTTCTGGCCGCTGCATCACTGAGGGCCATCTGTAACCATCAGCCAACTCTTTACAGCATCTTGTGTTTTTTTTTCACAGATTTCAGACTTCAAGAATCGTTCTTTAATCTCCCACAACTTCTTTTTCCGGAAAATGTAATGCAGAATAAAGATAATACCCTCGGTATGGTATATGTCAGGAATAGCATTCAGAATACTATGAAAATGATCTACTTAGACCTCTTCCATTCATTGAAAAATTGAGTCAGTTCTTCTACAAGATAAGCTTGAATGTTACCATTGTAGAATATTTTATATGTATTTTCTTACTGTATTTTCTAATTTTAAATGGTAATGGTCCTGATATTCAAGTATTGGTGAGCCTCTTAATGTGCTAAAGTGTATGATCCTCCTGCACACTCCTGCAAAGAAGGAAGCTCTTACAGAGGGAAAAAGAGCATTAGGCCATTTTCTTTCTTTATTGTCCTGAAAGCATCAAAGAGGTTCACTATTCTTTTCATGTAATAAACTTTGATATAAAAGGGTTTCATAGTATAAAGAATTTAATCATTCCTAGTTATTTCAGATATCAGTAAAATTACTACTTAGGGCTATGGGTATGAAACAGCTGATACCTGATTTCAGCACAGGTATTTAATGTTCTTCAAGAGGTGGTAGGTTTGCTTTAAAAAATTAATATTACTGAATACAAGAGATTTTTCTGTCTCTCTGTTTTCAGCATATTATAAATGTATCACTGATTAATTTAACCAGCTTAAAATCATTATTATACTATTATTAAAATAATTTTATCATTAACTACCATTCTTTTTTCTACAGTTCCTGTCTTTTCTAAAAAAAATACTGGATTTTTGTCTTTGACAAAAAATGTTACAGGTTTTTCCTTGGATTTTTTAGCCACATATAATTTTATGATTTCTGTATTTAATTGCTAATTTTCATACTTTTTTCTATTTTCAAAAAAACCTCTTACTTGATATAAATTCCAAAACAGTATTTTAATACAACAAATTGATTTAGTTTTTTTGCTCCATAGCAACAGTTTGTGTTGATCCAACTCCATGAATTCCCCTCAAGAGTGATCTTATATATGTGTCCTCTCTGTGGTCCCTGCTCATATAATAGTCATTTCCATAAAGAAATAATTTGATTTGTGTTTCTTGCATATTTAGAGAAAAGAAAATTAATCCACTCATACATTTGACCTGCATTCAAGTAGCCCTCATATCTGCTATCTTAAAACCATCCCAACTACTTAAGCAATTAGACCACTAATCATAGCTACACAAACTGATGCAGATAATAATATATATATAGTTTCTGTTTTCTTTTCCCCTGTTTTCATTAATTCAGCAACTATTTATTAAGCATTTACTTTGAGCCAGGATACCAAGGTAATCACTATAAAAAATAACGAGATAAAATAGACTTCAGTGCTGCCCAGAAAGATATTAAGTGCTGGTGTGGATATTGAGTATTTTCTAGAGGGCATAGATTCTAGTAGGGAAGGTAGGTAATTACATAAATAACTATAATATATGGTAGAAGTGATGAGCCATATAACAAAGATACAGTAAAGGATCCCATCAGTGCTGAGGAATGAAAAAATGCTTTCACCTAAAGAAATCATAGAAGACTGTGAAAATAGGATGTGGGCATGCAGAGATGAAAAAACATTGCAGGGAGAAGAAACAGCATAAGCAAAAGTACAGAAGTGGGAAGCACAGAGTATGCAGAGAACCAGAAGTTAGTTTTCTTGAGTACAGCCAAGGATGAGTGGAAGGGAGTAGTTCAGAATATGATTGGAAGTTTATTAAACCAGATGATAGAGGGTCCAACAAATCTGGCCATCTAGAGACCTTTTTTTTTATTTTTTCATCCACATAGCCCATCTCTTGTTAGGTATTTGACATTGGTATATTCATAAATTAGCATTGGGAAATGATTTTGGCAAATATGATGTGATTATAAAACTTGCTTTAGAGTTTTTGTTATTTTTTTCAAATAAAGGATGGTTGGAGACTATTAAATATATTTGGGACTATGATAATTCCTGAATGTCAAACTCCTAACCACATGAAATGAATAGTAGCTCTGAAGCAGTTCAGTAATATTAAGATACAATATGCCAACAAGAACTCGAGCATAATCTTTCTTAAAATGAATCTTTCACCAGTCATTTGGAAACAGAGTTTCCTTTATTAGTATTTTTAAGTATTTTTCTTGATATCTGCCTGGAGCCAAAAATCGTACAATTATGACCATTATTTATTACTTAAGATAAGTAGTTAAGATCCTTCCATTAAATAGTAGAAATCTGTCCAACTAGCATGCATTTTAATAGTAAGATGCTTACTTTTATTTTTCTGTATTTTTTAGTACTATATCCATGTTAACAATAAGCCTGTGCACAGAAGTCCCTGATGGAAGTACAGTAATGATGACACTTCACCACCACACTGTGTAAATTGCAGGCACTCTCTTTGGGAAACAGGGAGGGAAGCATGCCTTTATGCTTACCTCCTCAGAAAGGAAAATAATCCCTGTTTTAAAACAGTAGATGCAAACTGCTGATAATTATTAATCCAGCAGTCTTTTTCTCAGATTTAGTTCTCTTCAATTATTCAGTATCTCATTCTTTGTGGATAGACAAATCATTTAGGCACTCAGAAAGGAGGACAAATAATGATTGTATTCTCCTCAGAGAAACTAGGAAAAAAATACCAACCCGTGTTGTATTACACATTCTTGATTTGCTAATAATGAGAAAATAGGTCCAGGACAAGTCCATGTAGTTTGGGGCCTAGTTTGACCGAGAACGCATCTCACAGCACATAGGGAAAAGTGGTGGTACTGTCTAGAACTTCATTCCCTTGGGAATTCTGTGATCTGCATAAAAGGGAGCAAGATAGGACATAGGGCCACCTAATTCCATCCATCCACCTGCAAAACCAACACATATGTGAGGTCAACTGCACCAGTGGCCAGACTGCCTATGGTAAACCTTTTGAGGAAGACAAGGCTCATTAGGTACAAGCTGACTACCTAACTTCCATTTTGACAGGGACAACGAACAGATAAATAGGGATAGGGAAGACCAATCTAGCTAACAATTTTTATTAAGTCCCTATAGGTGATAAAACTGACAAGGCATATAATATGATAATTAAATTTAGCATTAGAGTATCTTTTATAAGAAAGGTAGTGTTGTACAACCATATTAGCATATCAAGAATAAATTTCAGGGGACTAAAAATCAAAGAGCCAAATAACTCTTGTTATAACTGGGAAAATCTCCCTTTCTTTGACTTTAAAACAATTCAAGTTAAGACCATTGGACTAGAAAGACATTCTACAGTATGGCATCTGAAAGTGAATTAGAAATTATAACTTTGTGGTCTTCACCAACATTGATGTGAATGTTTCCCATCTCTTCTGTTTTTCTCTTATTTCTCTTTTTTCTTTAAAACTAACTTCCGCTTGACGCTTGGCTCTTCTCTGTGCTGGAGCATTCCAGTTTCCTCCCTTTTCATCTTCCTGTCTGTTGTGCTGGAATGTACCTACATCTAACTCAAATGTCCAATGAAATACAAAAGATAAAACGATTAAGACATTATTATCCCACAGTACAAAAGGATTTCAACTCTTTCAGACTTACTGTGAATTAGCTTTATTGTAATTTAAGTAAGAAAAATAGCACTTAAGAAAACTTCATAAAAAGCCTATTTACAGGATTTTTAATAACTAATTTGTATTTATGCTCCTTAACTGTAAACCCTATCTGAAAATGTAGATAGATAGAAAATGTAGATAGATCCATGGACAGTTCCTGCCAGAAAATTACAGTTGAATAGAAAAGTAACTATATGATCACCTAATGGTATTGTCACAAAATACCTATTTAAAATAAGCATTAGCTAGACATATGAAATTATTCTCTAGAGTGGAAAGATTTCCTACATATGATTATCAAATTCCCAGTGGAAAGCAAAACACAACTTTCCAACCTCCTCAGTTTTTACTAGTTTTTACTTATCTCCTGGCACTCTGAACAAAGAACAGACTCTAAGTGTCTGAGTGATAGTGATTTGGGTGTTTTTTTTGTTTTTAAGACATACCCTTCAAAATATTATATGGCTCATTGACAGTTCTTAAAAGAGTTCCTGAAGATCAAAGTATTGTTTTTCTAAGTGATTTATCTCTAAGGATTTGTTAAATGAATTCATTGCAGTTCTCATAGACTTTGATTTGTGACAGTGCTTTTTCTCTAATGGTATTGCAAGGGGTTTTAGGAAAGACTTGATTGAATTCACTGAATCATGGAGACAGCATTGTTAAAAAGGAACTCCTTCCTCCCAAAGATGACCACATTTCCTCTCAGTTTAACTGTCCTAGTCACTCAGTGGACTCTTTTTTGGACAAACATTTACTGAGCACTTGTATGTCCCGGGCACATGTCAGGCCCTGCTGACTCAGTGGAGAATAGGGTGTGTCATAGCTGCCTTTGAGAAATTCAGCCAAGTGGGGAAGAAAACATTATAGGACTGTAAACAGATGGTTATCATCCACCATGTCTACACAGAGCTAGCTGGTGTAGAGGGTCTCCCCAATAAAGGAGCCTTTAAGTGACTTGTTATACTCCCACAGACATCATTGCCTGGCCCATAATTCTGCAAGAGGGCTATTTTCCTTATTTTACTGATTAGACACAAAGATGAAATGGGAAAGCCAGGATTTGAGCCCATTTTCTTTACTCCAAATATACTCTAGATAGCAACTGAATTTTTTTTGCTTTCTTCCTTATTATTCCGTACTGACCTGAGCATACAAAGCAAAGGACTCCACCCATTAGAGTACTGAGCTACTTTGGCTCTTTTGAATGTTTCTTCCCATAGGATTAGAGTGGAAGGTCACTAAAATAACAATTATTAGGAGATAATTCTTTCTGTTAGATAAATTCTTCTGTTAGATAAATCTTTATTCTCAACTCTGCTAAGTCTATATAGAACATACAGTATTGTAATATTCATTCATTTGTTTGACTTCTTTTCTTTTTAGTGGAATTGGATCACAGAATTGATTTTGAACTCAGAGAAGGCCTTGTGGAGAGCCGCTATTGGTCAGCTGTCACGTCGCATACTGCCTACTGGTCCTCCTTGGATGTTGCCCTCTTTCTTTTAACCTTCATGTACAAACATGAGCACGATAATAATGCAAAACCCAATTTTGATCCAATCTGAACTCTTGAACGACAATAATGGCCCAAAACTTATTTTTTCTGTTAAAATATATGTGTCAAGACAGGAGATTTCAGGTTTAAGTATGTTTCATTTTTATTTAGGGCAAGAAATATTTGCATTTAAAAGCACTTTATGTAAAAAAAAAAACTTTTTTCCAGTCTGAAAGAAGTTAATTATAGTCTTCAGAAGTCATTTTAATTACTTGTCTGACAGAATCCCCTGCAGAGAATCAAGCAAGACCTGGAAGTAAGGAAGGTTTGGATGAACTGCAAAGTTATAAAATACAGTCTAATTTCTCTCAAATACAAAGGCATACTAATGGGTTGAATCTTTGAATCTATCAACCAAAGTATGTTTTAAATCTAAAATGGTCAAGGTCCAGTGTAGTCTATGTAAAGATCATGAGGTGGAATCATTGTTTTAGTTCCACAATTTCTTTGAAAGAATATAACAAATGTGAAGTGTTTGGAGTTTAACTTGTTTAGAAAAACTAATTCTAAAAAAGAAACAATATTTGAACTACTGTATTTATAATTTATTACCTCTAATTGCTTTATTTCAATATACGAAACATTACTTTTTTTTAATGTTTCTTTGAACAATTTAAGAACCACATTTATTTTCTATAGTGTTAAGACCCCTTTTTCTCAACTCCATCTTTGTACTCTTCAGATGAATATATAGACACTGTGGCATACTTTCAGTATTTTTTTTTCATTAAAAACTGGTTTTCACACAAATAACACTAGTTCAATTATTTTGAAAAAAATGAACTTTTTATTATGTCACATGTACCTCAGAGAAAGCTAAAGTGTTCTAAACTTGACACAAAGTGCTCCATAATGGCTGAATTTCATTAACTTTATTGGAAAATCAGTAAACTGCTTTGGAGTAGTGAGTATGACAGCTATTTTAAATGTATAAACGTCTGTGTGCCAAACATTTAACATATATAAAAGGATGGAATGCCACTAACAAATTTTATTTCTAAAGTGTGTAAGAAAACATGATTGTGATGTAAGGCTCAATAGGTCAGGATTCCAAGGCATTGGAAGGATTTTCCTCGGCTGTAATTGTTTCCACAGTGCTTTTCATCTGAGGAGCTCAAAGTGCTATAAGATTCAGTAATCTATGTAGTAGCTCCTTGAGGTAAGTAAATGAGTGTTATTCTTGTGGTACATATTAATATGCTAAGGCACCAAAACATTTAAAGTGCCTTGAATTAGATAACAAAGCACATCAGGAGAGCTCAAATTGAAGCTAGACTTTTATATGCTGTTCAGTGACTGATAATTCACATGTGACCTCTCAGTAGTTTGCAAATAATAATAATGGGAGTTACAGTTCATAACTTGGAGAAATAACTGTGCAGCTAACATTTTACCGTGCTTGACTTACAAGTTCTTGGGTTCTCACACACAGAGGAGGAGTACTTAGCAGGGATCATTAGCTGTTTCCGCACCAGGCCTCACTTCTGAGTGGCTTCCACTAGCTTCCACCTAAGGTGCTGTCTTTGCTTATCCTGTGAGGAATTTTTTAGCTTCCCAGTAATCACCAAACTGGGAGCAAAGTTGGTCAGCTACTCCTTTCTTTACCTACTCCTTTCTTTAGAGTAGGATCTGTGGCTTACTTGCAGGTTTTATGCAGCACCCAGTCCTTTTGTTCATTTTGGCCTTTCATTGAATTTGCACAACATAAAACACTTTTTTTAGTGCTTAAAAAGATCCCAAGGCTCCATGACCAAATATGTGACTCACGAAGAAACCCTTGCTATAAAAGGCTTTTGATGAGATCTTAGCAAGCTGAAGCAATCTTTTGAATTTGAGATTCCTGTGAACTCAGGTCATTTTCATACCTTGTTTATTACGTAGGTCTAATTTAGTTCTCAGGAAAATTAAACACCTGTCTCATATGACCATATCATTAAAGGTACTTGAGCATATGTTGCTCTACATGACACTCAGATGCCTAAGAACTTTGAGGAACTCATTCTTAACTGCTAGAATGTGAGGAGCCATTCTCACTTGAGAAGACTGAAAACCTAGCAAACCTTTTAATTTGAGTAAAAAGAAAAGTGTGCTCCCATAACTATAGGAATATATCTGCTTCCCTTTCTTCATAGTGAGAAAACAAAATCAAGTTTAGCCACATGGAATTTATTTGAATTCTTGAGAAGAGTAACATTCAAAACTCCCTTTTCAAAATATCCTGGATTACTAGACATGTTTATTTTCAATTCATTATTTCATCAATAGAGATGGTGATTTTGATTTTACAGTACTCTTATTTCCATGTCTCTGCATGTTATCATGGAATGTACTTGTATATACTCAAGTAATATACAGAGTATGTGTAATTCTGGCTTGATTTAGAAGCTAAGTCAGTTACTGAGTAACATTTTGCAACTTTATTCCCGTAAGTACTAAATTGGCCAAAAAGTTCTGATTTTGATACCATTAAAAGTTTATTCTCTATTTTGTGCACATGCTATGATGCTTCTTCTGAGTACTGGTCGATCTTTCATTTTGAATCCACTTAGGCTCCCAAGAGTTATTGAAACAGAATACAGAGAATATTTTGGATTAAATCTTCCTTTTACTTTAAAATTGGCCTTTTCTAAAGCCTTTTGTTCATAAATTGATTTTTTCAGCAGTAACTGTGCTCATGTAATAATCCAATGTAACTGTATTATAGAACATAGTTATAAAATGTACCGGGTTTCCCAGTGACTACTACTTTATATGTGAAACAAGCCTTAGGAATCTTAGGTTTTACTTGTTTCTGTTAAACAATATTTGTCAGCCTTTGTAAATTCTTACACTGAACATGCTCTATAGAAGCCCTCAGAAAGTAGCATGTAAACATTCATTCTTACTCTTTCTGTCTTACTCTTTCTGTCTTACTGCGGGCTTAAATATTCTGGTTGGCAAGGCATTTAACACACCATGTCCCAGCTTTGCATTCCCCCAAAATGAACACAAAGGAAAGAAATCATCAGTGCAGTCTGACAGCCAGTTCCACCATTCCCTCCAGTGATGGCATTGGAGCCCCTAAAAAGTGAAGTCGGACCAATCCTAGAGATTCACTGTCAGACCTACAGTAGAGGAAAAATAATCGAATTGCTTTCTGATTAATTGGGCTGATTAATATTTCTGTCTTCTCAGCTACTACATCTGGACAATTGAGAAAACTGAGTGTATGTATTAAAATTATTTTTCGTAATTGTCATGGAAATGGGGCTAAAGAAGAAATTGTGATATTAAAGAAGGGTCAAGGCAGAGCTAGAAGAGGATGTAGCAATTATACACTAGAGAATGAACTAGAATTTGACTAAAAATTGTCTTGAGTATTGGGTAGCTGATTTCTGTGATTATTCTCAAGTTTTCTCTTACCCACATTCTGATCTTGCCCTTGGTCTCAAGCCTCTCCAGGAACCAGGTGGTACTCTGGCTGAATATGAAACACTTGTGTTAAATACTTTTATGGTTGGGTATGAGCAATACGTAAGTTTCCTAACTTCTGTAATAATTGGCCTACATAAAAAAAAGTTTGCTGTATGTACAAAGAGCAGGTTTGGCAGGAAGCCAAAACTCCCACTGAACTCTTAATTTTGCTACATCTAAGATGGCCCTAGAGTGGGTACATACAACCTTCACTGTCTCCCTAAATTCTCTTTTTGCCTCAGTCAAGGAGAAAGGAAGTTTCAAGGAAATATTTACAGTATTGAGCTGCGGGCAGTGCACAGAATGGCAAGGCATAGAATTTCATCTCAGAGGTCTCATTCAGTAAACATCGGTGCTGGGATGGAACATCCTGTTTCTTCAGTGAGATGTTTGAGATATTTCTAAAGAATCCCAAAATTTCAGGGTTTGCACAGATTTTAGAGGTCTAGTGCAACCCTGCTTTAGGTTCACATAAGGATTTAAATAGCATCAAGGTAATGAAAAGGAAAGCGGGGAATGGCAAGTTGGGTTCAGCGCAGAGACTCAGACACGGCAGCAGGGAAGGGGCATGATGGGATCTCTAGGGAAAATACCTTTATGATAGTAGAATTCTAAATCTGGAAAGGAATCTAGAGATCATTGTCCAAGGCATGTTCTGCAGATGTTAACAGATGTCTCAGAGAACAAGTTTGGGAAATGCCAAATTTAAAAATTCCTTCCCAGCAGGACTTTGGCAGCCTTTGATTACACTAAATGCAGTGGGAATCTATCTGGTGCAGTGGAAGAAGGGGAATTTTTCCAAACTCGTCTAACCAGACTTTTTTTAATGGAGAAATGCTGATCACATCTAATCCCTTCATTTTACAGATTCCTCCTTTCATGTGATTCTTTCACTTAACAGGTGTCCACTCCACCCTGTAAGATCACATGGTCAGCCAGTGTCAGTGAGAATCAGAACCTAGTCCCCCGATTCCCAGCTCTGTCTTACAGCGTACTGCCTGTTTCCTTCCCCTAGTAGTAGATAGGGAACTCCGCAAGGGCGGCAGCTGCCTCTGTTTCTTTGTGCCTCCTCTCCTCCCAACCTGCAGCCCTCCTGAGTGACCTGATGGTCTGCCTGCAGCAACCTCCTGACGAGTGGCTCAGGCCTGAGCAACCCCACTGGTCTCCTTTGTCCCCAGGTCCTCCTGAAAGAGTGCCCTGTCAGGCCTGGACAGACTTCTTTTCAGGTCTCAAATTCAAGTACCCAGGAAAAAGCAAAAGAATGAAAAAGTTAAGTATATTAAGAAAAAACAAAATAACAAACATCAGTTTTCCATTCTGATGACAAATGCAAACTTGGTAGGGACACAAGTTGCACAATATTAAATAGTGTTTAATATCCCTTTCATAGTGTTTATAGGTTGGTCTTTTATCAATTCATGACAAATTGGTCCCTTCTAAAACTGTTCCAACATGAGTTAACCAATAGAAATTTTTAAATTTAAGTACTATACTGTTTGGAGAACAGGAGAGTTTTTGCTGTTCTGTGTGTCTGTGTGCATGTTTTCCCCAGAAATAGTCTTTTGGCAGGTGATTAGCATGAACTTTTCCTCTGCTTTGTGTTTGAATAGGGGTGGGACTGTGCTCAGTATTGTCTCTTACCTTATGGTTTTTCATTTATATGTTACCAGGGTGCAACTGGCTTCCTCCCCACCCTGCAGTTGTCAGGATGTATTGGGGAGTTATTCTTTAGGAAGATTACATCTGCTCTTCTGTTGGAATAAGATGGAAAACAAGTTTAATACTTCACCTTTAATGCTCTCTCCTGTAAGACATCGACTATCTGTGAGCATCATTCATACCTCGCCTGAACTATACACACACACCCTACCATCTCTGCTTGGCCTCTGGAAAATACTTGACTCCCTATGAGCTTTGTCATAGAAAAGTATAAGCATTTTCTGGTTCTGAGGCTATCATAATAAATCCAAACTCTGCCAGTAAGAGTCTGGGAAGATTTTTTGCTTTTTGCTCCTAGGTACATTTCTCTGAGCAGCTAGCACTATGATTCTCCTGAGACCCCCTACATTGTTTCCTTTTATCACCTTATGTTCACTCTCCCTAGCGGTATTGCATGCTGTCCGTGACTGCAGTAAGAACTCTCAGAATGTAGCCTTTTTTCTTTTTCCTTTCCTTTGTTACCTCATTTTCGATAGTCAAGGCACGTTAATTTTCTCAGAATCTTCAATTTTACCAAATCGTTCCTGTTTTGTCTCTGCAGTGGTATATTTACATGGCAAAAAAAAAAGACTTTTCATTTTAGAACTATGCAGTTGTGGTTTTTCTCAACTGGAAGTAGTGCATGTACATTTAATAATTTCAAAGAATTAAGAGATAAATGTAGTTTTCTCCTGGATTACACTGTATTTCTAGCTGAATTGATCATTCACCGGAAGCAAGTAATTGTGCCCTATTGTAAACACCCACAGAGTAAGCTGTTCTAAACATCCTTGGAAACATAATCCTCTTGATCCTATACAGTTTGTGGTAATCCAAAAATCTATGAAGAGTGAAAGATAATGAAATATCTATTTATGACCTGTGGCCACCACACTATCTCCTGCTCAGAGGGTTGATGATCACAGTGGCACACTGGCTTCCTCAAAGTCCCTAGCAGAGGATAAAGTACATGTATAGAAAGAGATTGGCACATTCTGATTTTGTAGGGTATAACCCATTCACAATTTCTCAGTCCAGGGTTCAAAAGATAACCATAGTTCTCAAGCTTTCTGGCTAAGCTGAATATGTGATAACTGATAGAAAATTAACCCTGTGGCAAAGTGACTGAAAAATAAGTTTTAGACAAATGTTGTAAGAATCCAGGAATTTCAAAAGTAATTCTGGACAAAAGTAATTCCCTGAAGTGGTATTGACCTTAGGTTGGGAAATAAGTGCCCAGGATGTAGGGACTAGTATCCACCTGTGGTGGGACAGGACAGGCTGGAGAAAGAAAAGGCAAGCAAGGGGGACGAAGGAGCCTTGGTGCACAGTCATGATAGTCTGATGGCTTAGATATTTCAGAAAAGTTAGCCCAGAGGTTATATTTCTGAGAAAAGGGGAATAGGGTATCAGGTCTGATCACATCATTCCTCCAATCGAAGCCCTGGAACAGCTCCATTTATCAGCGGGGCTCCCCACAACCTAGCCCAACCTGACTCTCCTGCCTGATCTCCCACTACCTGTCTTCGGCAGTCAGGTTTCTGTCAAAGCGAACCACACCATTTGCCTAAGAATATGTGTATTTCGTTACTGTAGTGGTTACCTGTTGTTTTTGTCTGTCCAACATCCTATTTCTCCTCTTTTGGGTCCTCTCCTCCCCAGCCTTATGAAGTACTTACTGCTCTACCCACTCCATGTGGTTCCAATAGAGCTGCCAATCCTATAAAAGTCTTCCAGCCACATTCCCCTCCCACCCCTTAAAATCACTTTCTGCTTTGCTATTATCACTAAATAGTTAATATTTATAGCTCATGGTATTGCCATTATAGTGGGAATAAAAGGCAAGTGATATATCATACCATCACACCATTGCCATTCCCTGTTTAAAGAGGCCTAATTTTGTGACTTCAGCAACACTTACGCTGAAGTGAAAACCAGTGAAATAATCAAATTAGACAGCTATCCCATTCACAGATCATCTTTTTATACTTCCATTGGCTATTTTTTAGCCTAGTCTCTGCCTTGGCAATTAAGTATTTCATCATCCATCTGCTTTTAACTTCATTGCTTGAAGCTTGCCCTGTGTTTTTGCTTTAGCCTTTGTCCTACTCTTTGGTATGTCACTAAACAAGCTGATCATTCTGTAAACTGTATGCTATTCAGATTCTTGCATAACATTCTAGTTTAGGACACAGTAGTCTTTTTGTTGCAGAGGGATGAGCTGAAGAATGTTCACATTCATGTGGTAGCAAATAACCTCAGATGTTATCTAGGTATGTATATCATACTACTGTACATTTTTTAAATATTTTGCATAAGTCAACTCTTAATTA